CCCGCCGTACCCTCCATGGTGACGGACGTGTGGCTCTCCTTCAAGTCCTTGGAGCCCTTCACCTTCAGCTCCTAGGGAGGGAAAGGCCCATCAGAGCAGCCCACGGAGGGGGGTTGGAGGGGGGGAGGTCATTCCTCAAGGTCATGGGGGTCCCCTCCCCACCCTTCCTGCACCCTGGTATCTCCCCCCAGCCCCAGCCTGGCCACGCTGGAGACCACACACGTGTGCTGGGGTGGAGATACGGACTGCATGGGATGCTGCCTGGCCGGGAGCAGCTCTGGCAGTGCCCAGCAGCTGGGATGCAGTGGACCCACGGGGCACCCCAGCGCAGGACACCCAGCCCCACAGCAGCCTGGGGATGCTGCTGGTCCCACTGAGCTGGGCACCCCTGCTGTGGGGGGGCTGGAGGGAGCGGGGAGCCAGGCTGTGACCACGGAGGTCCCCATCTCTATAGGGGAGCCAGGCATGAAGATGCAGCCAGCAGGAGATGAGCCACAGGTGCCCAGCACCCAGCACCCACACACACGTCCCTGAGTCCCCAGGGCAGGGAGAACATCTCTGCAGGGCACACAAGGTCAGCTCGGCCACGGGGACAGCGGTCTCTGTCCTTCTGTCCTGCACTGGGACAGCCCGGCCGTGGCAGCCCCATCCCCCCAGCACAGCCCCGGTCCAGCTTACCTCCGAGATCTTCTGGAACTGGTAGTTGCTCTGGCTGCACTTCTCCGCGGTCTCCAGCGCGATTTTGTAGTTATCCACAAAGGCCTTGTAGACCCCCAGCTGGCTGGCCTGCGGGGAGCGGGGGTTAGCCGGGCACCCGGCGCGATGCTGAACCCCCCACAGCGCGAGGGGCCAGGCAGCACCGTGGGGACACTGCCCAGAGCTGTCCCCTCCTGGCACGAAGCTCTGCCAGACCACAGCCAGCTGGCGGGCCCCAGGGAAAGCCCTCACCTGGGGCAGGGCAGTGGGGCTCTGGCCCAATCCTGTGCCCCCACAAACCTCCAAAATCCAGCAGAAAGCCAACGGGCATCTGGACAGCACGGGCTGAAGCTACAGCCACCTCCCGGCAAACTTCAACCTGCCCTCTCCTCCTCCCCTCTCTGGCACAGTCACAGCACCCATGGGCAGAGCCACGCTACCTTCACAAGCCCAAAGCGGTGGCAGGACCCAGAGGGTGACCCCAGGGAGCCATCGCTGCAGCGCCCGCAGGCAGCGGGGAGCCCCGGGGCCCCTCGCCTCTCTCCCCAGAGGGTCACCCACACGTCTGGGCTCCCGCCAGCCCCAAGGTAAAGCAACACCGTGCCCCTCCAGCCAAAACCCCACCGTGGTCACACGCAGGACCTGCCAGCCGTGGGCATCCCCGCTGCAGCGAGGGGCACGGAGGCTGCAGTAACACCCGACCTGGGACAGGAGGGCTTGGGCAGGCAGCGAGGGATGCAGCAAGTCCCACGGCCACCAGTGAGCACAGGGCAGGGCGTGAGCTGAGCCACGCCATAGGGCTGAGCTCCGCAGCACGGTGCTCCATCTCCCTGGCCCTCCTCCTCTTCCAAACGGAGCAAGCCCCAGGGAAGACGCGTACCAGCTTCTGGAAGAGGTGGCCCATGGTGACGTTGCTGTCCCACTGCTGCACCTTCGGGCACAGGCTGTCGTAGAACTCCTTGTGGATCTCGTAGATGTCCTGAATCTTGTAGAAAATCGTCTCGATCTGCTGGAGGGTGAGGACGGGCTGAGACGTAGTGGCTGTGGCCTTCAGCGGCTTCATAGGCTGCAGAAGGAGAAGGGAGAGCATTTGAGATGAGGGCTGGGAGGGCTGATGGGCAGACGAGGGGTGTCTGAGCTGGCAGCGAGGGCTGCCCAGGACGGGTCTCAGCCAGCAGCAGGACCAAGGGACGGCTCCCAGCGCGTGCATCCCCGCAGACTTCCCCGTGGCAGTGGTGACCCCTGCGTTGTGCAACAGTGTCTCCTCCACGGGGGCCAGCAAGTCCGCAAGAGGAAGCGGGGCTATAAATACCTCCCCGCCAGGCACGCTGGCAGCAAGGGGAGGTGAGACAGGGCGGCCGGGCCAGAGCATTGCTGGCTCTGATGTGGCTCCTGAAGCTCTGCTCCTTCCCAGGTAGAGCCCAGGCCAGGCCTGCCTGGGGGAGGCTGTCCAAAAAGAAATGACCCCATCCATCCATCCATCCACCCAACCACACATCCACCCATCCATCCACCCTCCCATCTACCCATCCACCCAACTACGCATCCATCCTCCCATCTTCCCATCCATCCTCCCATCGACCCACCCCTGCCGGAGGGGTTGCCCAGCCTGGGGGCTGTGCTCACCAACAAGAGGGCCTCCAGCTGGTTGATGTAGATCTCCTCGCTGGCCAGGAAACCGGAGAGCACCAGCTTCCGCATCTCCAGGCCTTTGCCAGCATCTCGCTCGCCCTGAGCAACAGAGTAAAGAGCCCATTTGAGCCAGCAACCAGCACAGGAGGAAACTCATCATCCCACTGACTCATTCCCAGGATCCCCACATGGGCACGTGTCCCCACCAGCATCGGGGAAGCTCCATGGCAAGGGCCGGGCACAGGCCCACTGGGCGGCACAGCCAGGCTGGAGCCAGCTGGGAAGCCATGGGCTGTGCTGGCTTCGCTCCCCTCCCTGCTCCCGGCTGGGCAGGAGCCCGGTGCCACTGGCAGCGCTCCAGGGTGGTGCGCGGCACAGCAGGACTCTCCCAGGGCAGAGTCCAGAGGCGCCCGGTGAAATCATGCCCGGCAGCGGACGGTGCTGCCACGTGATCCAGCACCACCCTTTTCCCCAGCTGAGGCTTTCCCAGAAGGTGCCACCACAGCGGTCGCTGCCCGGCGGCACCAGGGAAATGCGCCGGCCGTCGGCGGCTCAGCCCATGCCCACGTCTGTGCGGCATCGCTGCTCCAGCAGCACAACCCTCACAGCAGGGAGACAGGCAACGCTCAGCCTGGCTGGAGGGCTCCGGGACCCCCAGTGAGTTCTGCCAGCGCCCAGGCATGGAAGCCCCAGCCCCTGGACTGCCTCAAACGCCCGACATGCCCCTGCCTCCCCCCCAGCACTGTCAGCCTTAAAAATCACACTCAGGAGCCAAGCTTTGCCACCCGGACCGGGACGAAGCAGAGCCACGGGGACATCAGTTGCTCTGGGCAATGAGCCACTGGGCACAGTCCGGGGGTGTACTGGTCCTGTT